GAATTGGCTCATCTCAACACATTGGCAGAAACCTTGCAAGATGATCTTGAAAAAATCAAACAGTTTGTCTTTCCGATTCATCTTTACGACATTCATGTTGTTGAATCTGTGTTGGAAGAAATTCTAACTACGGAACCAAGATATGCCAAGACAAAAGTAACTGCTCTCGATTTATTTGAAATGATCAAATCCAACCCGGTAACTGTGGGATCATTCACTTGCAAAAATATCAAAATCAGACAAGTGTTTGTGAATTTAGAACCATGACAATTGTCCCAGTGGTAGCCCCTGACAAGGTTGTGTACGTGTCTAGAATTCATGCCATCCCTGTTGCTAGAGAAACGTACCTTGGTTCACCTAAATGGATGCAGACGGAAATTAAACATCCTTTCCTGCTGAAAAGAGGTGACAACTATTATGCAGCTTATGGGTCTGAGATACCTCAATGTCTACCAAGGATAGGTCAATCAGGCTGCCAGATTTGTCACGCAGGACATCTCCCAGTACGCCCCGCTAGTCTTTGTATCAAGCAAATACAAGAAGGTGCAAACGATGAATTGATACAAGTGGCCTGCAAAATGCAGTTAGTAGAGATGCCCGAGAACATGGTGATCCAGTTAGATAAGGATGAATTTGCATATATAGATACGGATAAGGGGAGAATTACTCAATATTGTGCTGAGAGTCCTAACAAAGAAACACCTGCATCAGAAAATTCATACGAATTGCCGTATTCTGGAATTATTAAATTTAATCAGAACTGCAGATACACATTGGTCAATGGACCATTTCAAGATATTTTACCAAAATTGGAAAACGTAGAAATCAATGCGGTGGAAGAAATTCCAGCATTCAAACCTAGAAGTAGTGTGGCAGAAGACATTAGTGATTTACAGTTACATTTTAGAGATTATGGCTACATATATCTAATTGTTTCTGTAGTACTGCTGTCTATCATTTTATTGAGTATTGCTTATTTGTGTTTCGCCAAAATTTGATATGTGATTCTTAGACGACGCATGAGAAATCTGAACTTACTAGAAGGCACAAATATTGAATTAGTCCCCGCTAGAAATGCACCTTCCATCCCACAATATCCGAGGTTGCAAATTAACGCAACTACTGGACTTATGGCCATCAAGTAATACCTATGAAGTAGGTTGTTATATACATCATAGCCTTGCTTACAACCTAGCTGTCATATCCGGTTTATATTTACACCAATGTTATGTGTATGTGTATGTTGTGTTTGATGGTTGCTGTCAAATCTATCTATCTTATATGTTATGCAAAAAGAAGTTTTGGAGCTTTTTACACCTGCAGAAGAGAAGAGAAAAGGGCAGAAGCAACTGGAAAGCTGGATGCTGATGAAGATGATGACTTCAGATGTGGATGTAGAAACTGTGGAGAGAACAAAACAAAAACAGTAAAAATGCAAAAAATCAGAGGACAATATATTTTATTGAAGTCCTCCTACTTATAACTCTCTCTACACGCGCATCAACAACATAAAATACCGCGCGCCACTACACGACAGCCACAGTATGAAAGCTGTCCAGGTTGATATTATCATTATTGTTGCTGGATGGAACAGCCTCAGGAAGTGGAGGAGGACTAGAATTCAGCCTCCTCAGCATCCAAGAACGCAGGAGAGGCCAGCCCAGACGCGCAAAGACCTCCGCAGAGGACTAGAATTCAGCCTCCTCAGCATCCAAGCACGCAGGAGAGGCCAGCCCAGACGCGCAAAGACCTCCGCTGCACTCAATTGTTCTGGCCGGACCTGAAGGAACAGAAAGATGCAACAAAAAGCAGAAGCAAAGCCGGTCATGCAGAACTCACGGAAAGAAGCCATTAAGGGTTGAATAGTGGCTAGTGATGGTAATTCGGCCATCTCAATCTCCTCCTCGAAAGAAGGGTTTGGAAATGACCGAGATTCCCTTTTTACACGTTTATGGCCTTTTTCTTTCGACTCTTCATCCTTCTTTTAATCCAAAGCAGGCAAAAGCAAGCAGACAACCCAAAACCCTGGTTTAAATTTGGAAAACTAGAGTGAGTACTAAAAAACTACACACCTTAACCTTAAACCTTTGGCAGCAACAGAAAGTTCCGAAAGCAAGTGGTGAGGTTATGCCCAGGACACCAACCAACCAAATGAAGGCTTGTAAAAGCCAAGAAGGAACCACAGCATGAACAATGGTACCATCCGCAAACTCGGCAGAGATGTTAACTCTAGAGATATTACCCAAGTCATTCATGACCTTGGAGAAATTGTCAATCTCTGTAGTTTTTGGAATAGGTGCCATGGTGGGTCCCAATGGAATCCAGCCACCCATTGCATCAACAATCTGAGGATTTTCATCTCCCAGCAATGTTTTTGTTGATCCAATTGGTGGGGGAGAAGTCACGAACGGCGTAAAGGTCACGTTCGGAACATCAGCCGATAGAACTGTTCCTGTGACCCTGGGAGACGCAGAAGTCCTTGATAAAATCCAAGGCGCCAACGGTGAAGACAGGCTCTGTTCAGGTGTAGCAGCTGTAGGAGACTGAGTGCCACTGTATACACTGATGCCCTGGAGAGGATTCTCAGTGGAAGTTGATATTTCCATCTTCATTTCAGGAACCAAGGATGGAGGTTGGGAATCCAAAGAGTTTTGTTGAAGAGCCTCTTCCTTGATAACCTCCATAGCTGTTTTGTCTGTTTTTGGTTTTTCTGAAAAAATGGGAATTCTGTTATTCTGTTCTTAAAACAAAAAGAGGAAAAAGGAATCAAAAAAAGTACTCACTCCCTTGTTTGAAGAAGCAGAAGTCCCAAGGGTCGATGACATCCTCCATACCAGTTGACCTGCCCCTGCAGAAAGTCCTCTTGAACAGCTTCACTCTCTGCAAAAACAAATTTCAAGAAACTGATTATTCTGTTCATATTTTTTCAGAATGGAAAGGAAAAGGGAAAAACAACCAACCTTTAGGCCCTTGTAAGCCACACAAGACAAATCCAGTTTGGATCCTTGAAAGTCAATGGTGAAGTCATAGTGGCCTGGCTTCTTGACATCACATGCATCAATGCACACCAGCCTCCCTCCAACTTCCTCACAGCCTCCTGCTGCATGAAGCATCACCACCTGCAAAATTTGGAGCCACTGAAGATATGTTTGAAGAATTTTTGTGTCTTGAAACTTACCATCAAAATGACAGATGTCACTGCTATGGTGCTGAAGAATCCCATTGTCTTGCCGAATTGGTTGAATTGATGGCTGAAACTCCCTGGTAAATTACTGATCACCTCCTGAACTTTCTTGGTGTTGAAAAAACCGAATTCCGGGCGCCGCGTCGATCTTTTTGTAAATTGTTGTCTTGTACGATGCCGCCATTTTTTTCTTTTTCTAACGCGCGAAAACACCTACAAGGGGGTTAAAAACAGTTTAAAAACGGTTTAGGAAGTTTCACCAACAGCCTAGAATCAATGGACACTCAGAAAACCCTTACAAAACTCTTACCTGGAGAGATGTGAACCCTTCCAGAAAAGAGACTGAAATGAGCCAATTTGCTCTCAATCATGTCTCAGGAAGGCATAAATCAAGTTTTGGGAACTTGTTTCCATTCCAGTGTGTGACTTTTGCCACATTCCAGTTCTGAGAGACCTGGATGAACTCCCAGCATCTGTGTGAATTCTTGAGCACAGGGTGCTCCACAAAATGTGTGGATGGCAAAATATCTTTCCTGATGCAGAATTGTTGCTGGAAATTGACGGCCATATGGGAGTCGATGCCCAAGCTTGTCAAAAAATATTCCTAATCATCGATATTTTTGAGTTCACTTGGCAATGCACTTTTCTTGGGAACATTTCACCTGACTTTTGAACTTGAAAAGAGTGGAACTTTTCTCAAAATTGTCAGGGGTGAGTTTGTCATCAAATATTAATATGAGTGTCCTATGATAGGTTTAAAATGACGCTTCCTATCTTTCCTTCTGTACGTCCCAGAACGTAACAATACTTTCTGCTTGGCAACTCAGATCCGAATCTGAGGAGGTCATGACGCGTACTTTTACAGTGTCTGGTTTACGGTCATTCCCCGTCCCCATTTCTGTTTTCAGTCTGGCGTTTGTTGAAGTAACAAAGAAATATACGTATTCACGTCTTTATAACGAGAAGTCTAATTCACTTAGAAACTCGGGCTACAGGAAAAGAAATCTTCTTGACAAAAAGTTGTTCTTGGAAAGCAAAAATCTTTATTAGACTAATTGCGTGCAGAAGAAGACGTTCTTCTTAACTGCGAAAGTGTCTTTCATTGATCTTTCGGAAAATAAGGATAACAATATTGAATTTTCAAATTTTAAAAATTAAGGTGCACACCACTATGATTCTACCAGGAAATTCCGAAAAATTCCTTGAACGTATTTGTAAAAAGTGAAGCAAAAAGTATTCAATTTGGGTCCAATCCAAGTTAATAATTAAAATTCGATACTGCAGCGCTTTTGTCACTAAAAATGGGGTGCGTGTCTTGCTTGGAAATAAGGTTTAGTTGAATACTGCTTTCATCCACATTTAAGGATGAGAAAATCAGGTACTCCAGTAAATATTGTACAGTAAATTTGTCACAATGAAATGTTCAAACAAATAATGGCTTCCAACGAAGTCATGTTCAGGTCCCTGCACAATAGCCATATTGTGGTATGGGATATTTTTGAACAAATTTGAACAACCTTCTGAACTCAAAGTTTCTCGAGTCCTTTCTGCTATTATTCTATTGACACAGGAAAGAGAAACGCAATAAAAATGTACTGTAATTTGATGTGATTTGAAGTGAACGAATAAATGGGAAAATAAACCTGTGTCTTCAAGTACAGCATCCAACTCATGCAATTTACGGCCCAAAAAATCACCAATTACAATTTCCAGTATTTCTTCTTTCTCTCCCCTTAAAAAAATGCTATTCTCCCTGATTGGAAGCCTCTTCGCGTCAAAATTTTTTTCCTGGTCCCTTGAATTCAGACTCAAAGAGGTTCTATATGATATCCCATTAAATACTGGCGAAAAAATTAAGCTCAATTTTACCTGTATCACCATGCCAACATAAACGCGGTCCATGGGATTTAGAACCTCGGAATCACTCAGGTTCTTGATGGGAATAAACCCAGGGATACCGTTTTCCAGGCGCAAACGCACTCCAACTGCTCTTCCCGGACACTGGCCCAAATCCAAGTGAGTCCACACTTCCGACAACTCTGGAAAATCGCTGCGGAGGCAAAACTGACATCGCCAAAGCCCCGAATCGAGACGTGTCGGTTGCTGCTGCTGTTGCAAGTCATCGCCTGTCAATTAAGAGATGAGTCAAATTTCCTAATTATTATTGTACACACTCGTTCATTAGCCGTATTTTTTTTCCTTCATTTCTTCCAGTAAGTAAAAAAACTGTTACCTCGAGCATTGTGCTTGCGATGCGCAATTCCCACGACATGGCCCAGCTGCAGTCGTCCGGGATGCAGGGTGTCCGGGGTTTCCTTGGTGAACCAGGCAAACAACTCGTCTTCGCCAGGTGACTTGTACTCTTCGCGATGGTCGGCGTATCGGTTCGTGAGCTCGACGCGGATATCCGGCAAAGTGATCTTCTTATTGCCGTATCCCTGGCGTTCCAGCTCCACGGCAAACGCTTCCAGATCCAGGTCTTTGAGTCGATCAGGTGACTCGAGAATCTCCTCCAATGCTGCGCCGGGATTGGCATCGTACCCCACTTCATCATACTCGAGGGCGTCAATAGCCATTTTTCGGGCCCACTCGTACGTTTCTGGGTGAACGCGAGTACTGTCCAGTAGCTCAACGTAATTATCCGCACTGTCCCCCAAGCTGAGAAAAGCATGGAAGGAAAAGAAGGTTAATCACAAATACCACCGAATATGGTGAAGTCTACAGTCAAACCCTTCATTTAACGCCATCTTTCCTTATGGGTACACTCAGTTGCACTGAATTTGAGGGTGTTCTACAAGAGGAAGGTTTCTGCACTGTAAGCAGAATGAGATTCTTTGCAGAATTGTTTTGCCTTCAAGTACAGGTATTTTATAAGAGACATAGCCACAAGAAATAATTTTGAACTCAAATGCATTGGTTTCAAAGAATTCAGACTGCACCTGAATATATTCAAGAAGAGAGAATACATTGTATTTTTACACATTGAAGAGCTAGTTTTTTAAAGTTTTATTACTTTTATATCAGGTGTCATCATGCAGGAATCAAAAATGTTTCCAGGGAAGCTCCTGCTTAATTCATAAAATTTTTCACTGAGGAAGGCAGAAAAAAGTTTCAACAATGTAGACTCAGAAACAGAATACAACATTCAAAACTATCCTGAGTGTTTATGGGAGCACAATACTATATACACAAGTATTAACCCAATGGTATCTTTAGAAAAAGGCTGCAATTTCTTTGCTTATGGCCCACTTTTCATACGGAACAAATCAGTTTGTGGGACTAAATTTAGGTTTTTTTAAAAATTAAGTCAACACAGGTAGATTCATTCCACAAAATGGCATTAAAATGAGCGTTGACTGTAAACCAGGCAAAGCCAATGAGTACCATAGGCATTCTAACAAGTGAAATCAGTGCTGTCAAACTGAAACATGACCGAGGACCATATTAAAACATTTTTTTTGTGGCAGAGCCACCTTGCAGAGGCAGAGAGCCCTTTCCGGCCAAATGAGACAATGAATTTTGAGGTTCCAAATTTCTCCCTTTCAAATGAGAAGTTTAAGATGCAATTCAATGCTATGCAGATAATCACAATCACAGCCTTACAGGAGCAACATTCTAAATTTTAAAAATGCATCTTTCCAAATAAGATTTCGAATAATGGCAGCTGCCACCTTGAAAAATTATAGGCCAGGGACCGCGCGGGGTGGAATAAGAGTCTCTGCAGGCCAGATCTGTCCCGCGAAGGCCCCATCTTCGGCAGCATTCATTTGAACACACATTACGTCAACAACAACAACAACAGTAACAAGAAACAGATTGTGTCTCAAAAAATATCATATTTCACGAGCATCAAAAATTCGTCCTGCGTATGAACATTCACCTGTTGGTATCAATCCGTATGAAGCCAGCCACATTCATAAACAACCTCGGACCCATATGCAGCTGCGTCACGAGCTGCGTGCGGTTCTCCATGCGGATCGTCTTTTGTCGCAACGTCTTCAACACAGCAGCTGCCTTCCTGGGCCCCAGGCCACAGACAAATTGCAAAACCTGAGCAACGTACGGACTAGCCGCACACTCGTTCAAGTCCACGCCGACGTTGTTGACGCGAGTGATGAACTCGTGCTGGAGGGCAGCAAGCAGGGCATCACGACCCCCCTGGTCCTGCATCGAATGCCAGGGCACACACAGGATCTCGTCGTCAAACGTGCAGAGCTGAGCAAATTCCAGCAACGGATTTTGAATGCGACGAGCGAGGCTCACAGCTTGTCGCAACACCATCGGATACTCGGGAAACTCTTCGGCGCCACGCAGCGAGTTGCCGTAAATCTTGGCCAAGGAGTTGTCTACAAATTCCACTGTCACCTCGGGGAACCCGTGTGACGTCCGGAGTTCGGCCAACACTGTTTCCAGCTCACTACCCAACTGCTGGGCGGCGCGTGATTCGGCAGCCATGGCCACGACGTGAGGCTTGTGCTTGATGATCAATTGGCGCAAGTTCTGCAAGGGATAAACAAAGAGGTGTTGAGCGAGGGCTGTCAAGACCAAATACCATGTTTACTCATGTGCCACGCGCACCGCAACATTTTCAACTGAAATTTTTGGGAAAAACGTTAGCCCGCATAAGATACGCACCTTTAATTTTTAATAAGCAATTCTTACTGTGGAGTAAACTCTCGTTCCAACGAAGTTTTACGACCAGTAGCTTTGTTGCAATGATATTTTATTGTAACGAAATTTTAGGACCAGTAAAATAGCTTTGTTGTATCGTGCAGTAATTTTGGTTGCTGAAAACTACGGTGCGCGTCGTATGCGGGGTACAGTTCTTTGATTCGTCACGAGGTAACTCATTCAATATCGTAGCAATTGGACACGGACCTAAAGAGAACGAATTCGTCGAAAGCAATTACTGTACTTCATAAAAAGAGATTTAACAGTAGCTGGAAAACCATGTTGGGTAAAAATCCAAATTGAGGCCGAATTGAGAACCGAATTCAATGGTGATATTTTCGTTTCATAAAAAGTAAAGTATCGTACACTTGAACCTCGATAACTCAATCCTACCAAAGTCCAATACTGTACAGTATCTCATCTGTATGTCGACTTTTCTCCGAGCCCCTCTCTGAATTATCTTGAAAATAATGCATTATAAATCTCACCAACTCGAAAATATCCTCACTCAAACCTCTACAGTATAACTCGAATTTTCTCGAGACCTTTTGGCTATTATCTTCTTGTCACAGGAAAGAGAAAATCAATAAAAATGTCACGATATGTTTTGAAAAGAAGACGAAGACTCATTGGGAAAATGAAACCTTGCTTTCAATTCCAGCATCGTTTCAACCGACTTAAGAATCAATTTAAGGCCTAGATTATCACTAATTACAAATTTGTGTAATTATTCTTTCTTCTCCATAACAAAAATGGTTCTTTACCTAACTCGAATTTTTTTTCTGGTCCTTCGAATTTCGACCTAGAGAGTCATCATTAAAATACAGGATAATGATGCAGATCGACTGCATCATTAAAATACAGGAATCATAAGAATTTTTCCAATCAAGTGGGAAGAAAAAATTCCAATTTGTACCCGACTATGAAGCGCACTTAATTTGTTGTCCAAACTCAATAGAAAAAAAAAAGTGCGCGTGGTAATAGAATAAGTAATTATTAACACACCTGGAGATCGTTGGCAAATGTGTGCTGGACCGCGTTTGCCTTCTTCTCGGGGACCTGGTTTTGTCGTCCTCGTCCACGCATGATCGCAGGCAGACGCAGCTTGTCCAAAACCTCGGCGTTCATGTCGATCACAACTGCAAATGCTGCCAAATCTGGCTCATTGGCCACATACGAAAGACCTAAAACACGGATCCCAGCTGTACAATCCCAGTTCTCATCATCGTCGTCCTTGGCATCAGGCGGACGATAAGGCGCCACCTGGACAACAAAAAAGACCAAAACCCGTCAGTAAACTGATTCTCTCCAAGAAATCTTGACTCGAGATTGGACAAGAATTTGAAAATTTATATATATGAACATTACACGGGAACTTGACGACGACGTGCAAACCTTCACGCCAGAAACAGCTCAACCATTTATCGCTAGAACTGAAAAATGTTCAGATTCCTCCTCGCTTTTTCTCACGGCACCAGTTCGTGAGAGAATATTCCGCGATAACGCTTTTTAAATCATGTTGCAGCAGCCGTATTAGATTCTCCTTTAGGGAACGCGTGGCACAAACTAACTAGGGTGAAACAGTGTGGTAGAAAAAGAGAGGGTGAGACGGTAGCGATTCAAGTTTTGACGCAGACGTCTCGGGCTGAATTATCGAATAAACGCAACAGCCTCTTCACGCTTACAGAACAGTTCGCTCTTTTTCAAGGAACTCCCAATCATGAAATAACCTAAGGCAAACATCTACAACACACGGTCAAGCAATATTCAAGATATTAAATTGCACCACCTGAAATGTTCACATGGTACACGTCCCAATTCCAGATATAAAAAGTTGCCCTGAAATCCCATAATTTTCCTCAGCTCAATGACAAACACTGCTTCGATCTTACAAAATATAATATTTAAAAATCTGAGAAAAGAGTTCGCTCTGGAAGCTGCCTTCTACCCATCTGTAGAGAAAAATACTACTCAAATTCGTAGTTTTGGAATATCCGAATACAGTACTACGCTGAAAAACCCTTTGCAGAAGAAAAATTGCACATGACACTGGACACGCGGATACAGTTTGCCACAGAGAAAACATGTGTTTTTTTACTGTATTCTGAAATTCTCATGATAAATGGACTCCCTCTACAACAAAATTAATTCAGGGGACCAAAAAAAAAATGTTTCGTAAAGGGAATTTAGTTGTAGAGAACCTCTATGCAAGTTTCGACCCTTCTGGAACCAAGAGAGAATTCTCTCTACGGCGATTATCTCTGTATAACGGATCGTTGATCCCACAACGTTCTCTCCCCATATTTTAGGAATTTCCTAAAATCAGAATGCCAAAATGATCTCTAGAACGAATTTTTTGGACCCATAAAGCATAGGGGTTTCTACCCATGATAGAGGGGTTCTCAACGAAATTCAAGCGACCAGGAAAAAATTCGTTATACCGAGAAATTCGTTGCGGAGCGTTTTCAAGACAATTCGAAATCGTTACAGAGCGAATTCTCTGCCATTTTTCTGTTTCCCCGTAGAATTTTCTATCCATGCTATACCGGTTCTCTACAAAAATCAGGGAACCAGAAAAGTATTTCGTCGTGGAGAGAATTTTGTCGTATAGAACAGTGTTGCCATACCCGTGGTTCTACGAATCGGTGCTGGTCCGCGTGAAATTTTCTGCAGCATAATAAATTTATCAGAACTAGCAATGAAGAAGTATCTTCATCTTAAATTTCGGAGGACAATGGCAGTTGAAATTATCCAATAAAAATGCAAAGTTGGCTGTCCTCTCAACACCAGACAAATGTTCACATGCAGAAATGCTTTATTTTATTTTTTCATTCAGGAAAACCTTTGCAGTAATTTTAGGCAATTCACTATACAAGCTTTATTAGTTCCTAATTTTTGAAAAAGAGCAAAACATTTTAAATACCTGCCATAAAGTCTTTAAAGCATATCTTTTTCGAGTCTGCAAAAATTGTGTAAAACTTTGCCAGTCTGAAAATTTTTTTTAGAGGAATTTGCTTGTTTGCGAAAACTTTCAGAGATTTGCTGGTCCACGGCCCAAGAAGGTTGGGGAGCACTGGTATAGACCTTACGAGAGTCCATCTGACACGAGAAAATTGTCGTAAAAAGAGTCTACCCGTAGCAAGACGTAGTTTAGTCGCAAAACACTCGAATTCGTTTCCCATTTCTTCACTGAAACCAAAACCGACGCAAACATGAGAAAATTTCGCATCACCTTGATAGAATCATATAGCTTCCGGGCAGCAGACAGCACCACGTGTTCACGGGCCTCGTCGCCCAAACGGCGCCTTAGCTCTTTTTCCATCAACGGAATCAGAATCCGGGCAAACATTTGGCGGATCGTGTTCCGCCTCACTTCATTCCAGCTCTTGACGTACTGCGCAAATCCATCCTGCACGTACAGAGTTTCCACTTCCTCCGACAGCCGGACTCCATCCTATCCAACAATCAATTAATCCGACGCTTACTCTCCGGAAAACGAACATTCAAAAGAGTACCTTATTGAGGACATCACAGTTAAGCTCCAGCGTGATGAGCCCATCTTTCTCGCCACCTTCGAGCACGAGAAACAACTCGTTCTCTAGCGAAGACACAGCCTTTCCGTTCAAGTATTTATAGCGATACAACGCGTGGTTCTCGTCGATTTCACGGAAGCCCTTCTTCGTCGGTCGCACATTCACAGTGGCTCCGTTGTACACCTTGGTGCGGATGGCACGACGCACATCCGGCTCAGCAGCCAATTGATGAGCCACCATCAGCGTTGCAGCCTTCACCACATCCTCAACCTGAGGGAACTGGGCACACACGTACTGTTTGGCCGCCTCCAGAGGTTCCACGGGGGAAGACTCGGGTTCGTGGCGGGCATACTCGTCACGCACGTTTTCCGCAAACCGATCAGGAGCGAGGCCAAAGAGGGACGCAAATCCAGCTGCAAAACGCAACAAAATAGAGAAAGCCCGCAATATATATTTTTTTTCAGCGTTCTTTCCATCATCTGAGCACAGCAGAGGAAGACTTGCGCCTGTTCTTTGCTCAATGGGCTCTTTTTCAAGCAAAAAAGATAAGATTTTGGGTGGGTTTATTCGGCAATGTTCTTTACAGATGCTTGACTTCGAGAAATAATATGGTACCGTATTTACTCGAGTAAGACGCGCACCGCATTTTTAGCGACTTTGAAACTGCAATTTTTTGAAAAGAATAGCAGCCGAATTTGACTTTAGATATGAATTTAATCTGAATTCAACGAATCAATTGTTTCTTTCAAAATTTGTTTTTCTGATAAGATTGATCAAAATTTACCATCAGAATGAAGTATAATTATAATATACATCTTACTTTCAAAAACTTTGTGAAAATTATTCCAACTCATGACACGCAACCTGTTTTATCCTCTCAATTTGGAGAAAAAAAGGTGCGCGTGGTACTCGGGTAGATACGGATATTTCATTAAATTTTTGGGGGACTTTCCCTGATTTTGATCAACAGGAGGAGAGCCCATCAAAAATTTCCCATAAAATTCACGGGATAACGTGATGCGACATGCGGACAACAACAACAAAAAGTTCACTGACAAAAGGGACATACCGAGTCCCGCACGACGGCATAAATTATAAGGATGTCGTCTAGCAGGTGCCTTAAGTTGCTCAGGTTCTTCTTCCTCTTCCTCGTCTTCCTCAACAACCTCCTTCTCCTTTTCTTCCATCACACGCTCGTCGTCCGTCACTTCTTCTGCCACGTCTACAGTCGTCATTTCCCCAGTGTCGTCATTCACCACCGTTTTGGACACTATCACTGTCTTCGTGTGTTTTTTCTGTAATCGTTCCGCCTGCAGTGCTTCACGTTCCTTTCGTCGTTGCTCTGTCCGTTTCCGGCGTCGGTAATCGTGCATGTTGGGCACTTCATGACTGTAGTACATGAGAAACTGGGAGTAGGCGTCATTGAATTCTTCGGGTGTTTCCGCTTGCATCGTCCTGCAGACCGAGTAGATGAGAAATAACATATTAGGAAACTTTTTCAGATTTTCAGCAGAGCTTCATCGTGCCTTTGAACATCAGTGACGCATACGGCGCGGAAATCCTCGGGCAGCGGCTCGTCTGATCGCTCCACGCACATATCTTGCTGGTAAGTCATCATACTTTGCATTAGTTCACACAGCTTCTCCTTTCTTGACTTCAGTTGACACCACTAAAGAACAAAGAGAGGTCATCCACCTTGGCGTAGATCCACAGACACGAACAATATTTTGATTGAACCAAATAAGCAAATTTTCTGGGCAGTCCAGGACAATAAATCCCTCATTTTATCAGGAATTATAACTTTATTTTTTTATCTACAAGAAATTTTGATTTTCTAGGAATTAATTTAAGTTATTAAATATAATCCTCAGCAGAAAAACGAGAATACAGTACTGTGCGGCACCAAAATACGGATGATTCGACTAACAGGCACTTCAAAAGAATGTACGAAGTTTGTTATTATAGTACTACAGTACATATATTTGATTAAGTACCACGCGCCCCTAGACTGGGAGTTTTCAGCTGAAAATCTCGATAAAATCGTACTTCTGAATAAGACAAAGACCCCACCAGACTCTAAAACGGCAATATTTCAAATACAGTACAGCATAAGAATCCCCAAATTAGATTTTCAACATAATTTGAAACTGAATTTATCTAAATTTTGAAGGTTTCAATAAAAATAAGTTTTCTGATACTGTATAACTGGTACAAAATTTCCAGGTGGAGTGCAGTACAATGCAACATGTTAACTTCTTCAACTTAAAATTTTTTTTTTATTTGCCTATGGTACGCACTCCCTTTTTCCTCGCTCAAATGTTGGAAAAAAAGGTGCTTCCGGTATTCGAATGAATACCCCACAATACATGAATGGCCTCCAATTCATAGTCGGTTTTCAAGATGTTCTTCCATCAACTGCGTAGAAAACTGTATTGTAAAGCGTAGCAATATTTATAATATCATCCCTCTTTTGGAGTCATTTTAGTACCAAAATTAAATATTCTGTGTGGTTTTCTTCAGCAGCTATCTGCATCTTCGGGTTTAGAAAAACTTTGATTCTGTATTTTTTAAGAACTTCTTCCGAAATAGCAGAATTAACTGAACATTTTCCGTGGAAGTCAGTGGGAAAATGTGCTCAACATGCAGATGTTCAAACACAAGGACGAGGTTTGAGAACCAATTGAGTCCGCCTTTCGGGGCCCCAATGTCCGTAAGAGGCGAAAGCTTTTGGAAAACAGCAGATGAATCTTGTTCGTTCTAAACGCCTTGTCAAATTGTAGCCATTGAAATATTCTCCAGTTCACCGCGAGTCCGATGAATAGTTTTTCAAGGTGTTTCGAAAACTACCGTGCTTTCTTCTGAATATGACACACAAGGAAATACGCATGAACGATATTCAAGGGACCATAAAAAATTGGCAGCAGATAACCCTAGAACACAGGGAAAGAACCCTACGGGACCACAACAAATTATTTGTACAATACAGAGAAAAACAACGTCGAAGAGAGAGAGTCCATCAGTTATGTGGAAGAAAATTGGGTCGGTTGAAAGAAAGGAGTGCCACACTTCCCACTCAACGGGGCTTAAAAAACTGAAAAGAAACACATGAATCGGCCTCGAAACCTAGACACATTCCTTGTCTGAAAATCCTCACGCGCATTTCGTCATTTGGAAAAAAAAGTGATTGTCGCACCTTTTCATCAAAATCGTAGATCCGCCACAAGTCGTTTGACGTCAGCCCCTCAACGTACTCCTTTCGATAATTGGCAATAAATGGCACTTCGAGGTACATATTGCGCATAAACTCCAAAGCATTCTTGATCTTGCGGGACGTTGTACTGGCACCGAGAATGGGCTGAACCAACTTTGACTCTTTCATGGAAGCTTCGGGTCGTATCGTCTGCTTCGACACCGGCATCACCGAGAATGCGTTACGGTATATCCATTCAGATTCTTCCTCAAGCTCTCGATCGCCATCCTGCGCATCAGCTGGAGTCACGGGGAAGTTACGTATTTGCATTCGTTCCGGGATATCGCTGTTTCGCAAATCATTGTCCAGGTCCGTGAAATGATTCCTTTCCAAGTCGGCGGGTTCAAACAAGTCAAAGATGGTCGTCTTCGGGACCTTTCGACGCCAGCCCTTTTTGCCTACGCGACGCTTTTTACGAGCAGGTGAAGACCGGTCGCCATCTTCGCCTTCTTCACGCTCCTCGTCAGAATAGTATTCGTCTTCTTCACCTTCTACGCCTTCCTCGTCTCCTCCTTCCTCCCCCGACACTTGCTCCATGTCGTCGTAGTCAAATTCCACGCCGAAAATATCCTGTGCATCCTGCAGTGCACTGGAAATACAGAAAAGTCACCTCCGACTTAGTGCCACAAATTTCCCTGAAACGAATCTCCCTCCATTGTGTTCTTGAGAGAAACCCCAATTCAGTGCCAAAAAATTCATCGACCTGGATGAAAAGTGGGGCCTAATAAAATAAATCAAGGCATTTTCTACTGATATTGAGAATCACGTACTCATGCTCTCACATAAACTTAGGATAATTCTGAAAATTATATTTTTTTATTTAGATTGTCAATATTTATGATAATTTTTTGCATGGCCCCTTCCTTTACTGGAGATTTTACAAATATATAATTAGCTTTCCTGGATATATTGATTCCTGCATCGTGGCACTTGATATAAACATCAACAGGCAAACGAAAATTTAAGGAACAGCTCCTTTGACCGCTGAAATTCGTGAAAAAAACTCATTTTGACAAATAAAAACACTGAACTCGAGCTTCGAAGTATTTCTTGCGGTTTTCTCTTGCATAAAACAGACTCAGTCGCCTAACGCAGTAAAATCTCGTCACAACGAAGCGTTTGGGACCTTAAAAGAAACTTCGTAAATAGAAAAATTAGTTGGAACGAAATGAAAATTGCTTTGTGGCTATTGGACAGGGACAAAAAACGAATTCGTTGCACGCATTAATTCGTTATGAAGAGATTATCAGTGATTATGTTAACAAGCCTAATTTCACTAGATTATAACACCGCCCCAGAACGTTCCTTCTCATAAAATACCCTAAATTTAGTACCACAGAATGTGCCATGACAAATTATGGCACAAGATCGAGGTTTGTCTGTAGTTGGGTCAAATCGCATACCCCCTCTCCCTCAACGGATTTTCAACAAACTCACCTATCTGGAATGTGGTTCCGCTTCACCTTCTTCCTTTTGTCCCTCACGGGATTTCCCTCTTCATCCACGATGAAGTCATCCAGCTCATCCTCCTGATCTGAACCACCAGATCTGCGCGCACGCTCCTCATCTTGCTCGTTGGTCAAGTCGAGGTCTTCGCGAGTTGCTTCCTAAGCATCATCAAACAACATTACAGGGGGAGTCCATCATTGAAACGGATGATAACTCACCTCATCAGATGCCTCAGCCGCTGCGTCCACCATAACAGATGCCGCAGATTCTTCCATGGCTTCCTGTTCTTCATCGCTTTCTTCTTCAACGCGAACGCGACGGAACTTCTTTTGCTATAAGAATCACAATGATCGGTTAAACCGCACCAGAGAAGAGAAGGGATCTCCATTTACTGACCCGCTGAACCTTGATACCCAGATTTTCTTCCAATAAATCGTAATCATCGTCTTCCAATTGATCATCAAGCTCTTCCCGTTCGCCACTCGTTCTTTTCCGCCGACGAACAACGCCTTCTCCTTCAGATTCCTCGCTGTCAACGTTCGTGTCGGCGATGAAGTCACGTAACTCTTCGGCATACTGCTCCTCATCTAGATGTCCCAAAAATGTTGGAAACGATGGATCTCTTAGAACAAGCTAGAATATACGAAAATGACGAGAGATCTCTTACCGTCTTCTTCGTCTTCGCTTTCATCGCGGATCTTTTTGAGCCTTTTCCGTTCAACTTCGTCCAACTCCTCTTCATCGTCACTCTCCTCCGCTTCTTTGTCCAAGTAGTCTGACATCTTTCCGCCCCGACCTACGCGTAGGTTACTTCTAACTTGACTTCAATTACGCACTGTACACTTTATTCCTGCAACTACGAAAAGCATTTCAAGAATGAGGCTATATAAGGGAGAGACACACGACGAACGGCACTCGCTGCATTGTTCAATTGCAGTCGGCCAAAAAGCGAACAAAAGTTCGAATAAAACACAGCTTTTTTTTGGACGAATTTGGAATGTCCATAAATAGTTTACCCTCCGCGGCTGAGAAGTGGAGAACACAATTCAAGAAATCAAGTAATCAATCAATGTACTGAGCAAGCCAACGGAAACCCTCCCCGTAACCCTGGCGCTTAAGGACACTGCACATGAACACCTCTAATGGTCGAGAACTTACTTCTCCGCGCGACATATGTCCACGTCCCGTTGTCAACCCATGGAGTGAAAACGCGTCACGCAATTCCTCTTCAGAAACAGCTCCATTTTTGTCAATCTTATTTCCAAGAATCAAAACTGGAACCGAGGATAACTGTTCGTCTAGAAGCAACGACGAGAGCTCTCTCTTACTTTCTTCGAATCTCTGTCGATCAGCGGCATCGATCAAGAAAACAATGCTGTCCACAGCAGGAAAGTAGTCTTTCCACACTCTTCGTGCCTGGTGATGTCCACCCAAATCAAACGTCGTGAACCGCATGTTCCCGACAGATAATTCCTCCGACGTGGGATGCAGGGTTGGAACATGCTGTGCCATTCGATCATCCTTCAGCATATGCAACAGAGTGGTTTTTCCTGCGTTATCCAGACCGAGGAATAACAATTTACCGGACTTCTTGTACAAACCAAGGAATCCTAATACACCAGCCACCCCTCCAACCAAGGCTTCCCACAGGAACATAATGCACAAAACACAACCGGAACGCACTCTAAAGCAATAAATATTCTCAATCACTTAGAACGTTGCTGAATCCAAGTCCTGTACAGGAAGAGTGAAGCGGAATTACCACGGTGGAGGCGGAAGGAAATTACGCGGGAAAAGAATCTGATGTAAAATGCCCACTTCGCTCTGTGTAATCCTGAATGTGGCAGCCAACTCGTGAAAACTAGCGCCGTATTATGGACAGGCGGTTCGAAATTGTTGAATATTGCATCAGAGTATTACGCTATTCGAACAAGTCACAACGCAGATCACTGATATACACTTATTTTTTCTTCTTCTGCAGTCAATTCTCATGATCCCCCATGAGAGTAGGCTAGCTCTACTAGCGACATCTAAAGTAGATATGCAACTGCGATCTTCAGCATGCAGGCTGGTTCCACCGGCCTTTGTTGGGCCGTCGCCGTACTGATAGACCAGCACCAGCAGAGGGCAGACCACTCATCCAGATTCTAGAAGAACAATTTTAAGCTTGGCTAATAATAAAAAGGAGGACAAAGTTCCACACAACCCATCACGCAATCTTACTGTAATACACGCCATTGCCGAGCACCCAAACTCACCAAAATTAATCTTTCTCATGTTTAAATTTGTGTCTGGACTCTGGAGTCACACAGAGGTATACTCATCCGCACATCCATAGGTGGCAGACAATACAATGTCATGCCTGAGATGAACGAAATTTATATAAACCTGGAAGATTTTCAATGTGAGACCGAGTTCAATCCCCCCACTCATCACGTGCCAAAGCATCGATGATACATATAACGGTGTCACTCCCACAATATTCTCAGCACTCAAGTAAGTTCTAAAGAATGGACCTTTTTCAGGTGAAGACCTTACCTAACCTGGTGAATATACAGAACTTTCGTTTTATGCAAGATGGAACAATATGTGTGGTTTCTGCAGCATTTAGTACAGCAAAGGTTATCTGATGGTCATTGCCTTTTGGAATAAATTTCCTTTTTTTTAGGAGGAAGTTTGATATGCTTTGCGTGATCACCAGCACCACCAATTTTTTTGTAATCATGCGCAGAGAGAAGAATTCCCAAATTCTGCTTCCTCATAGCGTAAAAATAATTTGACACAGTAACCATTATTTAAATGTGATCATGTGTGTGTGAACTCGCTATTATTAACCTAATTTTGAATAAAAATGTTGACTGAAATGAAGAAACATTTGAACAATAATCTATGAATCCTTTATAAGCAGCATTAGAACCGAAGTCCATTGCACTAAAGAAGACTGAATTCTTTCTCAACTCACCAAGAACAATAACATCATACTCAGCCATTTTCAAGTCTTAAATGTATTATACTGTACTGCATGTTCTTATTCTGCTTCAACTGAATGAATGGAGCAAAAGAATCTTCCTGACAGAAGGGCATTTCTACATATTTCTTGAAGATATCCATGGAAATCATTCTTCTTTTACCAGCTGATAGTCTGCACTTGAATTACTCAGATTTCTGGAATATTTGTATAGCCCACTTATTTAGGCATATGCAATGCCTAATTTAAGATGATACCGAATGCCAGCCTAAGCTACATAAATGCTTATGATCAAAGCTGAAGTGGTGTTCTGCATGATTTTCTGCATATGCAGAAAATGAGGCTAAGGTCAAGCAGGTTTTCTCCTACTCCGGGATACTTCCATAATTTCAAGGATGGTGATGTTTACCCAACAAAATTATATAAGACCACGTTTAATCATAATTTCACAAAATTAAACACACGAAACATTTCAAGAAGATTTACAACGCATCCGTAGTTTAATTTTTCAAAAGGGCATGAATTGGTCAAGGACTCACTGTATACTCATTATGTTCAATAGCCAAAATGTTAAATGAGTTACTTCGTAACAAATTTTTTAGAAAGAAGCTTTCGTACAGGTCCCAATCAATGGTTTTGTTACAAGATTTTCCCATGTTTCGTTGCACATACGAAGCAGATGAGCATACATTGGGTAATTTGAAGTGGGATAGAAGTAAATAGATCTGATTTTCCTGTCACACTCACAAGAAACGAAAAAAAAATTACATCGTAATTTTCACCATTCCCTTTTAATCGACTGTTTGTCAAAATAAACGTGTCCCAGACAAAAACAATTCTCAAGGAAGAGGACTTTCTAGGAGAGACCCATCCAAACTTTATATTTCAAGCTGAAAATTTCAAGACCCATTGGAAGCTCCACACTGTCGGCTTATCATACACAAACACGACCTATCTGTTACATGAGCGTTTGGGCATCTGCCATACTTCAATATGCACTGTATAAGGAGTTCCCAGCATTCTTGGGAGCAGTAACGAACTCAGTCCGCATAATAGAAAAAGAGGCTGAAACCAATGGAACAGAAAAAATCTCAAAAAGTTCTCAGACATCGATCTCCGCTGGAGCCGGAAGCTTCACGACATTACCATGGAGCTCGTTCTGGTACGAATGGCCAAGACGACATGTAGAACAGAAAGATCACATGGCAAATCACCAACCTACTATATTATTACCCAATCTCTGATCACTGCCAATTAGCTTCTCAAGCGAACCATACTCGAGAATATAAAAACCCAACCAAGAATGAAGTTAAAAACGCACAACCTCCATAGAAATCACTTCGATGTCACTCGATTTAATCCCTGCCCCTGCCAACAAGACGACTCGTTCGAATGTACGCTTTTCTCTGAAGAATGCCCCAAATCATCGACTCAATCATCAGCACGAGTCCTGTACGTGATTTAAAGAATCGTGCATCATTGGTGGTCGATGTTTCACAGCCGTTTCGTCAGAAAAAGGTCGTATCAACGGAAAAGCCGCAAGCAAGCAGAATATAAATGCCCATGAAAAAGATTACGAGCTCGGTGCCTCGGATTTGATCCCCAGTATCTCGAGAATTTTAGCGGGTTCCACATGATCGGCAGGGTTATCCTGTTTGAAGTCCAGCAGTACCTTTCCACCTCTTTCGACGATGAGCGTACCTCCCGTCTGCAGCCCATCTCCGGCAAAGTTTCCTTCGACACCTTCCTGCTTCACCTGAATCAACGAACGGCATTCCACCACTTCGATACACATTCGAGAAGAACCAATGAAGACTTGAATGCATACCCGCGATATCATCGCCCTGGCTGCTCGGGAAATGAGAGCGGTTAGGATGGAGAAATAACCGTGGCGCTTGTACCCCAAATCAGCATAATTTTTCTTTTTTTCGTCAACGTATAGTTCTGTCGGAAAAATCAGCAATCTTATTTCAAACTACTAAGAGAATTCGATGGAACACTAACCACCAGAGAAAAATCTTTTCTCCAGGAACTCCTCAACGCCCAGTTGCTCCAGGCCGATGCCAATCAGCCGAACATTATGGGCTTTCAACTGAGGGTGGATGACGGATAAGTCACGCGCCCCCAGCCGACAGAAGGCTCATCCGAACCGGCGCATGAAATGCAAAACGCAGGTTTGATCCTTCCAGAAGGAGTCCATGCGAACTACCTGAAGAAAATTCGAAAGCCGACGGTGGAACACTTCCTTTCAGTCTGGAAGCAGGATTATCACACACCTCACCACTCGAAGCATTCTTCACTAAATTTCCCGCGATTTTACTCAAATCAGCTTTGATTACTCCGCTGGCCATGACGAACACTTCCGACGAAGTTTAGAGGAATGCTCCGGATTTCGAAAGCCTCTAGATTTGCCAGAGAATCTTTGCAAAGAATGAATACAGCACAGTGCTCGTTTTCCAACGCACGGTTACATAATAAGGGCTAACCCCGGCTGGAGGAGGGGGCACTTCAGAATAACGTAGTACCGTTCCATTGGGTGGCTGTACAACGAACATATTGCTTGCATACCTCACTTTTAAGCTGTGTTAGCACACTTGCAGGCTGCATCAGGAAACCCTGATGCTGCTTCAACGAACAAATGTTACATTTGCATCCAAATCAATAAATAAATCTGTCTGAATAAAATTGTATCAGGGTGATTCCTTCCAATCAAACCCTTCTTTCGTGAATGTCTTTAATTTTGAAAAAATTGACTTTTCCTATTAAACATTGTTTCTCTTCACCCACAGAACACTTGCACTTATTCACTGCTGTATTAAGGATTTCAGGTATCCAATCTTGAGTGTATGAACTCCACGTTAATAAATTTTGAAAAAATTGACTTTTCCTATTAAACATTGTTTCTCTTCACCCACAGAACACTTGCACTTATTCACTGCTGTATTAAGGATTTCAGGTATCCAATCTTGAGTGTATGAACTCCACGTTAATTAGATGATGGAGCTGAATACCGTCAATCTCATCACATAGCGCATGACATTGCACATAATAATTGAATGCATCAGTAGCAGGGGTGTTAATCGCAGTCTGAAAAGTACTAGCGCAATCGCATGCGCAAACTGATGAAAATACCGCAATTGCAAATGAGAAAGCAATTAAAAAAAAAGAAAATTGTCAAAACGTTTCGCAAGTAATCCACATTGAAAATATTCACCTTGCACGCAACTGAAACGCAATTAAAAAAAAATTCTACAATCGCAATATAAGTGGTGCAAGATTTTTTTTACCGCAACAATGAGACAAATAAAAAATTCACATATTAGACAATTTTCATTTGATATTATAATTCTGCATTATTGTCTAATATTGTAATTGGATTGTTTCCACCTTTGTCTCCACAAATTATTTTGCATATTGTGTATTTTAGGACACTCACTTGCCAAAATTTAACCACAAAGGGGCATACATATATATTCATTGAAAGTACAAAACTCAGTTTTATTTTGATGCATGTAATAAAAGTATTACCTGTATAAAAAAGAAGTATTTGGTTGTCAAAAGATGTATGAATTTTACTTTTGGCCTCAAATATCTTCTGCAAAAAAGTATTTTCAGAATATATTTCTGCAAAAATTATGAAGAAAAGTGTCTGCAAAATTTTCAGATTTCAAAGCTCTTCTGATGCCTCACATGCTTTTCCCTGTAATTTGATTCACTTATTACAGCATTTTCTGCAGTTTTCTCCTGCTCACATGTCTCAATAAATACTTTCTGCAATGCCTGATACTCAAGCTATTCATCCTAGCTGAAAATGCATAGCTGACTTAATTTGAATTTATTCTAGTTTATAAGTCTCTCTTTTATATTTTACCAATTTTCATAAGCTTGAAATTTAGGAAAAATTACAGAAATGGGTTCAGTCTTCTGTCATTAAATTTCTGTAGCAATCTTGCTCCCAGATATCATCTTGCTAAATTTTCCACTATAAAAGGTAGATACGTTTTTCAACTTTTGAAGCTTCAAAAGGTTCCAAGCACTTCTTCTTGTTCTCATGCAACATAAATAGGTGCTTTTTTTATGTCATTCCCAGGGTCAATGCCCTTTCTGAAGGAAAACATTAGAAATGGAGTTGAAAAAGGGGAAGGATGTGTGTTTTCAAAGAAAAGGGGAAGTTGGAATCAGGAGGGTGGATGTGGGGTACCCCTTCCTGGTTTTCTTGCCTTCAGTGCTTTTTGTCCTTTTTGAGTAACAAATAACTACTGCACCAGCTGTTCAAAGCATGGCATAAAAATAGAAGAACTTCAGAAGAATTGGGGGGGGGGGGGGGGTGTCTGTAGAAACATGGACAAATTTCTCCCACTCAAGAAAAGGGATTAGAAAAGCAAGCCAGCCATTTTCTGGCTTGGGGAATCCATCAGCATTTTTTTTTCATTTATTCAAAAGTCAGTCCAAAAGTTTTTGAGGCAAAGATAAAAGAGTTTGAGTTGCAATTGATTTTGTGCTTAACTTTATTCAATTTTCGGGTGCCTCAAAAGCTGTGAATGGCTTTTCTAATCTCTCTTCTAGAAGCCAAGCCCTCCTGGGANAATTTTGAAAAAATTGACTTTTCCTATTAAACATTGTTTCTCTTCACCCACAGAACACTTGCACTTATTCACTGCTGTATTAAGGATTTCAGGTATCCAATCTTGAGTGTATGAACTCCACGTTAATCAGATGATGGAGACGATCTCATCACATAGCGCATGACATTGCACATAATAATTGAATGCATCAGTAGCAGGGGTGTTAATCGCAGTCTGAAAAGTACTAGCGCAATCGCATGCGCAAATAACTGATGAAAATACCGCAATTGCAAATGAGAAAGCAATTAAAAAAAAAGAAAATTTTCAAAACCTTTCGCAAGTGATCCACATTGAAAAGATTCACCTTGCACGCAACTGAAACGCAATCTAAAAAAAATTCTACAATCGCAATATAAGTGGTGCAAGATTTTTTTTACCGCAACAATGAGACAAATAAAAAATTCACATATTAGACAATTTGCATGTGATATTATAATTCTGCATTATTGTCTAATATTGTAATTGGACTGTTTCCACCTTTGTCTCCACAAATTATTTTGCATATTGTGTATTTTAGGACACTCACTTGCCAAAATTTAACCACAAAGGGGCATACAGCATATATTCATTGAAAGTACAAAACTCAGTTTTATTTTGATGCATGTAATAAAAGTATTACCTGTATAAAAAAGAAGTATTTGGTTGTCAAAAGATGTATGAATTTTACTTTTGGCCTCAAATATCTT